CCCCAAGTTTGGAGAAGGCGTAGCTCCTGCCAGTCTGCCAGTGGGCGCCTTGGGGCCCGCCCAAGCTCGTGTAACACCTGGCTTCCGGGGACCCTGCGGGCCCACACCTAGAAAGCAAGAGGTTAAAAGGGGGAAAGTGGACCCCAAGAAGTAGACCTTGTGGGGAAAAAGGGCAGCTTAAATTTCAAAGAACTGTTTTCCAACTCCAGTCTAACCTAAATCCCTCTTGCAGTCGCCCCTTTTGTAGGCATCTGATGTTGGAAGACTAAGTACGTGGCCTTGTGAGGACTCCAGTGGCCTCTTCTGGCCGGAGCCGGTTTGTGACTGGTGCTAGACCGAACCCTGGCCACCCAAGTGCTTGGGCAGATGTCGCCCCCCCCCCCAAATCCAGGGTTCCACCATGGAAAGTGTGGGGCTTGGGAACCAAAATGGAACTTGACCATTGCTCTCTGCCCACTTGGTACCTGCCGCCACCTCTTAGGTGCCCAAATGAAGTCTACTTGGCACTGCTACCCGATCTTCGGATTTATGAAGTCGCCCAGGACATGGGGAGGGGGTGGTTTTAATTCTCCTCTTTGTGCTGTCTTGCAGAGAGTTCCCTCAAAGCTCCACGCGAGTCTCGGGAAGCCAGAAACTCAAGGTACCCTGATGCTGGGCCTCGAGTCAGCGCCGCAGCCCAAGGGACAGGGTGGATACCTAGATGCAACCTTAATGGCTGAACTCTGACACACATACCTCCAGCTCCCTCTGGCTGGATGGGGACTTGGCGCCAACCCCACCCACCCGCCGCAACTCCCGAGACCACTGACGCACTCTCCTATCCCAGCGCCCCCGTCGGCTCGCCAGAGCATTGCATTCTAAGGTGAGTCCAAGCTTTGGCTGACACAATTTTGAGGGCCCCAGGTGAGGGCCCCGACGCGACCGGATGGAGAGGTTACCCTGGTTTGAAAGGCCCAGTGCTCGTCCTCTACACTCCGCGGGGAGGTAAGCCCAGAGGCGCACCTGATAGCGCTCCCTCTCCTCGCTTGGTCCTTATCTCTCCAGGAAGAAAGCAATCCCTTTTAGATAATCTGAATAAGGAATTAAGAACACCACAGCCTCAATTATTTGCATTTTTCAGAAGTCTTTCTGAGGCAGAATTAACTGAAAGAGAAGGAATTACTAAAGTAGTAATTTCAGGTTCCTTTGAGCTCAGCCTACTCAACTAAGGGCCCTTATGCTTATCCAAACTCAGAGCAAAAGAAGAGCAGGTTGCTGCTGGATGCCCTGAGCCACGTGGGTGCTGTCCTCTAGAAACAGGAATTCTGAGTCAGATCTGGGAAAGTTTTGATTTGCAGTCTTCAGACCTTTTTGTTTTTCTGTTGATCACATGATTCTCCTAAGACTGGGACATAAAGGCCAAGAAACAGGTGGATTTTTGTATATTCATAGAAAAACATGTGGAAGGAAGCAGACAGGCTGTTAACCACCATTATGCCAGATGTGGGATTGGGGTATCGGGAGGGGAGATGAATTTTATACCCTTATTGACTTTGAGTTTTTTTCCAGTTACATTAACTTTCATAATTTAGAAAAGTAACAAAACATTTTTAAAGAGATAAAGGTATAAAAAATTCCTTAAGAACTCTACAGAAAGTATAAATGAATAAACAAATGAAACCTATATCTTTCATTCTGTGTCAAAATAATTAATCCTGAGTCCATGTTCATAGATTTAAATAAGAATACCTTCAGGCTGCTCTTCTGATTTTTAAACGCTGTGATGGAACAAGACTGGCATCTGAAGACTCTTTTCTGCCATCAGATGAGTATATTGTTTCTACACATATGTGTCTTCCCTTTAAATGCACTCCCGGTAGCCACAGACATACTCTCAGGGACTGCCAGCCAAGGAGTTTTTAGTAAAGGAACTGCTACAATGTCAGCTGGCAACCAACAAGGAAATTAAGCTGTATCCTCTACAGCTGCCAAAAGCTGCCCAGGCCCTGATATTTAAAAATACGGACATTCTTTTCATAGTGCCGTTAATTAATGAAGCTGGGAGTGTATCTGTAACAGTTACAATGTGTCTTTAGGGGAATTACTCAATGCTAAATTCCACTATTCAACTAAATTACTCAACGCTAAATGCCCACTTGGCTATAGTCTGCTCTTGAGTTGCAGCAGAGTCTATCACCAGTAGATAAAGATGTATGATTCATTTATTTAACAAATATGTGTTGACCACCTACTAAGTGCATGGCATAGGGCTGGGCACTGGAGTGGTGAACATGGCAGACATGCTCTTCCCTCTTGGAGCTCACAGTCTAGATGGAAAGAGAAGAGGTTAACAATTAAAATGCACTATCAACTGTATAATTACTGTTGTGATATGGGCCAAAAGGAGTGCAAGGTAGAGAGACCATTTGTCTGGAGAGTCCAAGGGGAGGCGACATTTGAGTTGAGCTCTGAAGAGTGAGCAGGATTTACTCAGGCGAGGAGCAGCATGGAACAGAGTTCCTGGCTGGTTCAGGCTACAAAAGGGGATGTGGTTGAGGAAGAGGTTGGAGAGGTAGGCAGGGGCTAGATCATGCACGGCCTACTATACCATTTTCAGTAAGATCACTCTGACCACAATGTGAAGAAGGAATAAGGGAGGGGGAGATGTCGGGTGAGGGACAGTTAGGAGACTGTTGCTATAATATAAGTGAAAGGGGCTGCTTGTCTAAGCAGTAGAGCAAATGGAGAGGAATAGATACCAACAAGACCTGGTGATTGCTTAGCTAGGGAGGAATCAAGGAAAGCCCCAGGTCTCTGCTTCTTCAACCAGATGGATGGTGGTACCATTTTCGGAGTTGGGAGACCCTCAGAGAAGGAGGATTGAGAATACCATCCCAAGGTTCACATTTGGTCAAGGTGGATGTGAGATGCCTGTATAATGTCCAAGTGGAGATGTTGAGTAGGTGGTTAGCTGTAGGGTCTGGTGCTCTGTGGAGAGGCTGGGACTGAAGTAGCTGGTTTGGAGGTGGTGATAAAGTCACAAGAGTGAGATGGCCTCCTAGGAGAGTACAGAGTTCAACCAGAAGAGAGCCTTGGACTGAGCCTGGTAGAAACCTTATCTAAAAGCTGGACAGAGGCAAACTATCTGGCAGAGGAGGAGGAGCAGCCAGAAAGCCTGGGGAAGTGGTGTGATGGAGCCCAGGGAAAGAATGTGTCATAGGCAGTAGCCAACAACATTCACAATGGCTGAGAGACCCAAGGGAAATGAGGACTGAATATATCCACCAAACTGGGTGACCTTGGTGTCGCTAGGGCTTTTACGGAGCAGTGACTAGGGGAATGAAGGGGTGAGAGATAACTGGAGTGGATTGAAGAGTGAGCAAAAGGTGAAAAAATGAAGACAGGTACTGAGTACAGGCAACTCTTGAAAGGTTTGATTGCGAAGGGTCAGAGAGAGAAATAGCTGGAGAGGAATGTTATGCCAGCAGAGGGTTTATTTTACTATTTATTTATTGACTCATTCATTTATTTATTTTACGGTGGAATAAATTGAATGTGTTTAAATGCAGATGGGAAAGGTTTTATAGAGAAGAGGAAGATGAAGGTACAGCAGAGAAAGGACAATGGACAATATGACCAGGGGAAAGGATGGAAGCAGAGTATGGGTGGAAAAGCTGACCTCGTGTAGGAGGCCACCTCCTCTATTATAAGAGGTGAGAGGGGGATGGGAGCAGGACTGAACCATGCAGGTTTGAAATAGGACGTAGAATCCTTCCATCTGATGACTTCCTCTTACTCTGGAAGGAGATTGGGAGTGGGGCCAGGAGAGATGAGAGAATTGAAGAGAGAGGAGATGGTTTGATACAGCCACTGCAGAAGGTGGGAGGGTTGACATGACCAGAGATGCGGCAGGATGACAAGGCAGCAATGGCCACCCTCTTAAGGTTGGTGGCTTGAACTTGTAAGATGCCCTTTGTAAGGCCCTCTTAAGTGATTGCCTCCAGCAGAGCTCAGCTGTCTGCTCTGGTGCAGGCTCAGATGAGGGAATTGCTAGGGCAGGGGAACAAATTCCTTTTGCCAAGGAATTGAGAACCTTGGCAAAAGGGTAGTTGACATGATGCATGATAGCAGGACAGAAGTCAAAGGGCCAAAGGAGCTCAATCATCGTGGAAGGATAGGAGGTTGAATCAGAGATTTGGATGCTTAAGTCTGTGGTTCAGGAGGTGGAGAAGTTTAGGAACATGACAAAGCCAGGATGTGATGGGGGAGAGTAGAGAAGACAGTCACTGGAGAATGTAAAGTCAAGAGATTAAGAGGCAGGTTATTGGAATCATCTGTGTGGATAGTGAAACCATCCAGCAGGGTCTGGGCAAGAACTGGGGTCAGGGTCGTGGTGTGAAGGCTATGGAGCTAGGAGCTAGGAGAGTGAGGGAATGACCAGGAGGTCAGAAGATGGGAACCACCAGCTGGGGGGATGAGCACTGTGGAATGATGGCAGGATAGAGGCTCCACGAGGGAACGACTTTGAAAATAGATACCAGAGGCCCAGTCTGTTTCGCCCCGGTTGTCTCTAGACCCAGGGCTCTGCAGACCACTGCCACGTCCCCTCACTTCCTTCTCTTCCCCAAGATGTCCATCAGGGACAAGGGCATGTGGAGGCCTCCCTCCCTCCTCCCCCTCTTCTTCCCTGGAGGCTTTGTTGTCCATCAAATGAAACCCGCTGGGAGCCTGGCGGTAATCAGGAATCCCAGGCTTGTCTCACCTCTGCTACTCACCTTCTGTCTTTCCTCAGACAGGCTGTTGACCTCTTCTGTCTCAGTTTCACTGTCTGTAAAATGAGGATGCTTAAACACACACCCCTCTCAGGGCAACTGTAAGGAGTAGAGGAGATAAGTAAGTAAAAGCACTTTCTAAACTGTAAAGCACTGTAGGAATGTGAGTGAATTCCCTTGTTCAGAACCCCCTCACATCCACCCTCAGAAGCCCCCTCTCAGGACCTCTCTCAGGAGCCCTCCCAGAAAGACTCAGTCCCTGCTGCAGAGGAAGCTGTCATCTTGCCCCGGAGACAGAACACACACACCCAAAACAATTAGAGAGGAATGCACAGCTGTGTCTGATTAAGTGCTAAATTGTAAGATGCAGACAATGAGAGCTCTGAGATCAGACAAGGGAACAATTAGCCAGAGTTGGGAAAGTCTAGGAGACTTCCTAGAGAAGGTGGGTGGAAGGTGCCCAGGCTGCTCACTTATCCCGAGGAGAATATTTGCAAATATGCCCATTCCTTTGTGGCTGCAAAGACTGTCAATCTGAAAATCGGACATGGGTCTACAGAAAGTTTCCCAGTCAAGATTTCTCTCTTGGAGCCCCTGCTTCTGTTGTTACTCCTATGCCCTACCCCCTCTCAAGTGCACTCCTGTGCTCCCCCTAGGCTGGTGGGCCACCTTGGCCCCAAAGAATCCTATGTGCTTGGCCCTGGGCCTCTCATGTTTGGGTCTCTCATGTCACCCATTTCCTGGTGAAGAAAGAGGTTGACCTTCAGTAAGTTTCCTGTGCCCTCTTTTGTGCCAGCACACACCTGGTATTTTTGCCCAGCCAGACTGCAGGCTTTTGAGCAAGCAGTCCTGGAGGCCCCTGGCCAGCCTAGAGCACCTGCATGTTCATAGAACAAAAGCCTTGAGCCAGCTCCCACACCTGCTTCATTTGCTCTTTATTGCCTCTGCCTCGTTGTTCAGGAGCACCCAGCCACGTGCCGTGGAGCTGCCCCTCTCCAGCCCGAGTCCTGCAACCCCAGAGCTGGCTTCTGCCTCCTTGGTTATGTTGAAGTCAACTCCTGCAGCCCTTTGGACACAGTTCAGAATGAAGACCTTCCTCCTTAGTAGCTAGACCCCATGGCCTGGTCGGTACCTCCGCCATGGACCTCTGTCCTTCCTTCACCACAAGCCTGAGAAAGACCCCAGCACGCCCTGGAGCCAAGCGCTCACAGGTAGCGACAGAAGCAGAAATCCCCGAATCTCATCTATGCTGTGGACAAAGGTTTCTCCAAAAGGACAGCAGTAATTTGGCAGTCTGTTAATCAGTCCCAGGTGGGGCTGTGAAAACAACAGCCACCTTCTGTCAACAGTTAAAATATTAATTTCTGATGGAAAGTGTGGAATTCTTAGAATTCTAGTCCAACTCCCTTGTTCCTTACAACTGAGAAAAAGAAGGCCCCAAAAGTAGCTTTCCGGAGGCCAAATTCCTGATCCTAGAGATAATATCTTGAATGTTGGACAATTAAGTCACATGTTAAAAATCACCTGACTTCTAAAGCAGACCCTTTCTCCGAAGGTTACTTTGACTTTGCAACAGAAAAACATAAAACCTCATTATCAGATGCAGAGGCTAGAAACCAATGTCATGATTCCCCGGGGATTTGTTCCAAATCCCACAAAGTCCTGATGCAGGAAGCACTCAGAATTCCCAGGTGAGTAAAGTCCAGCTTGTACATGACATTGCAGTGATGTATAAGGTCAGCAGTTTGAAGAGGCACGAACAGTCATCTCTATTAGGGTCATCACAGTGTTTGGGGAATGGAATTCTCATTAAAGAGAAATGCAAAATTGTATTCCCAATTATTATCAAATTGCAAAATTACATTCAAGAGGAGAGGCCCATAATTGCAGCATCAAGCATGAGACAGTGCCATTAATACGATTATCAGGGCATAAGCCTATTAGAGACCTTAATGCCTCTTTGCTGGCATCATCCTTTGTAAAGCTTCCCCGGGTCTGGAAACCATCTCAGTTGTAAACACAACTGTTACAAAAGAGTGATTTCCAAGGGGCATAACAAAGATCTGCTGGCCTTTACCCAAGGTCAAAGCTGCCTGGCTAAGAACAGAGAACATTTCTGAAAAATGAAGACTCACCTGCCAACTCTAGTTGGTGTTATTGAGAAAGGATGTCCATCTAGCCCTGAGTCCTCTCCAGCCCTGCAGCAATCCAGTCATGGGTATAACTGTCACCTGGAGATATGCATGTGCCATTTAGGTGGGCACAGGGGCCCAAGTTTTGTCTGCTACAGGTGAAAAATTGTGGTATAGGAGTCTACGAACCCAGGTTCAAGGGGGTGGGAGGGGATAAATTGGGAGTTTGAGATTTGCAGATACTACTATATATAAAATAGATAAACAAGTTTCTTCTGCATGGCACAGGGAACTATATTCAATATCTTATAGTAATCTATAATGAAAAAGAATATGAAAACAAATATATGTATGTATATGTATGACAGAAACATTATGCTGTACACCAGAAATTGACACACTGTAAACTGACTACACTTCAATAATAACAAAAAACAAAAACCCAGGTTCAAATCCTAATCTCAGAGAAAGCCCTGTATGTCCTCATAGGTATAGTAACACCTGTGTCAAAGAGTTCCCAGGAAGGGAAGTTGAGGTTTCTTATAACCAAGTGCCTATAGACACCTGGTGCTTAATAAATGTTCATTTCTCCCTTGGCCTTGGCAATTGGACTAAGTCGTGACCAGAACGAAGCTCAGGTACCATCCTGGCATAGACTCCTGGGAGCCCATAGGAGGAACTGCTATCTGTCCTCCTTCCCAAAGAGTTCAGACATCATCAATCATTATCACCATGTAGAATGAAAAGATCTACTGGCTGTTCGTGGAAGGAGCCACCTGCTTGGTCTTTAAGAATCAGTGGCTTATGAAACTCACTTGGCAGACTATCACACGGTAAAACCACCACCAGGAGGGGCAGGGCCTCCTCCTTAAACATGACAGTCAGAGAAATCTGAGAGCAATGGACCCCATGGATAGTCTTAAAAGGGAAGCAGGATACTTGTAACAACTTGTGGGTGTATCTCAAAACATGATGAATGAAGGAATTCATACAGGAGAGAATATACATGAAGTTCAGGAAGATGTAAAAACTAATCTATGCTGATAGAAATCAGAATGCTAGTTGCCTTAGGGATAGGAGAGAATTAACTGGAAAGAGGCATGAGGGAACTTTCTGAGATGAGAGAAATGTTCCATTTGTTGATTGGAATGATGATTACATGGGAGCATACCATTGTCAAAACTCATCATGCTGTACACTTTGGATTTGTGCATTTTATTCTTTATAAATTAGACCTCAATTAGCCAAAAAAAAAAAGGAAAAAAAAGGAAGCAGCAATGTTTAGGCAAAGGGGAGCACAGGCAAGGGGAGAAAGAAGGTAGCGCCCCACCATCCCTCACTGTGCTGGGCAATTTCTCCAGCACGAAACTCTGGGGCAGCTATGAACTGACCTGTCAAAAGAAACTACAGATAGGCGATGCAGTTTTCTCAAAATGAATATCCTATTCTGGGCCAAACATTAGCTTTAAGCCCTTGTTCCTCTACAATTTGAAAACTTTCCATCACCATTTTCTTCTTTTCTCATCTAAAGCCAACCCAGGACATGTTTTTTTAAGAACCAGCCTCCTTTAGAAGTCCCCCTGCCTCCACCCACAGCCACACATGCACATTATTGCATAACATTAACTCCATAAACCTCCAGCCCATAATGCCATAGAAAAAGGAAGCTGAGTTTAATTGACCAGCCAAAGTCAAATTAATGATCAGAAGTCAGAAAAAAGACAGTTTGAGTCATCAAGAAACTTTCAAGAAGAGAGAATCCTGACAATCAAAAATTTCAAAAAGCAGAGGCCTCCAAACGGTGGGAAAATGGAATGTGCAGTTGGAACTGGAACAAAAATCAGATTGTAGACCCAGCTCCTTTATTAAGTACTTGTGTGCCAAATCCCTTCTGTGTTGTCAAAGGGGATCTATTGCAGATGACAAAAAGATCATAGGCAGGGTGGCCTTGGCTTCAGATTGATTCCTCTGCTGTTCTTTGGGTTCCACCTTCTTCCCACCTCTGTTCCTTTCTACAGTCATCTCATTCAGAGCAACATCCAACAGAAAAATGACTCTTCTTCCCCTTGTCTCTTTTTATGCTCCAGGAAACCTTCCCTACAGTTTCCTACCAGAGTCCCCTTTTCATCTCATTGGCTGGCATAGAATAACATGACCCTCCCTGAGCCAGTCACTGACAAGTTGAGACTAATGATGGTTTACTCCTGAGTCCTCACATAAAGAAGGTCTGGACCTCCAAACAGTCCGTGCTACCAACCAGGACAAAGAGGGTGTAACAGGTAGGGTTTCCCTGGCCCTGCATGGAGGAAGTTTATTGGGGAGTACTCTCAGCATCAGCACCTGGGAGGAAGTGAAATAAGCAGAGATGGACAAAGGGAGAAGTTAAACTGCAATGCAGTCATAATAAAATCCTTAGCTGATCTTTCAGAGAGCTCTGGTGCTGGGACAACTCAGGGTTGTCCCAAATCGGGGTAAGAGAGCTGGACCCTTTCACTCCTGCATCACCCAGACGTTGGATGTGGGCTGCTCCTGGGAAGGGTGCATTACCATGGCAGCTCTTCTCAGCAGAGGAAAAGTCTCAGAGAGGGACTAGGTGGACAGTTGATGCTGTCAACTCTTTCAGTAGATGGGGAAATGAGTGCTTCAGGCTGGGAGGGGAATCTGGGTGGTTCAAAACATCATCCACTATAAGAGCGATGGATGTTGCGTGAGCAATCCCTCAGGTCTCCCGGAAACCAACTAGGAGTCCACAGTCGTGTCCAGAGAAAACATTATATGTCAGCCTTTGCCAGGACCGTCTCTGGAACCCAATCATCTCATTACCCTTCCACTTCCTTAGAAAGGGGTGACGGAAGAGCCTCCAAGCATCAGCTACCATCCTGGTTTTTAAGAGTGGGGTGGCTGGGAGATGGCTATGTGGACTGAGTTTGGGCAGGACCCAAGCCCTCAGACTTAAGGCGCATGATGCCCACAAGAATGAAAATCCACAGGAATAGTCTTGAACAAGCTGGGAGCCTGCTAAGCCCTGGCATCTGCTGAACTTCCCAAATTACACACATTAAGCTGTTCAGTTCCACATTTCCATAGTGTGCTTCCTGCCAAGCTTCCTAGCACAGTCTATCCAATGGGGAAATCAAAACGAGCAGTTAGACCAATTATGGATACGACAGGTCAAACAAATAAGCCTTTATCTAGGACTTAAGCAGACATAGTCAACAAGAGTCTAATCCAAAAATTGAGATTTGGACAAAGAAAGGCTTTATAAAACAAAAAGGTGGGGGGAGTAGAGATATTTGCATGAATTTTTTGTCTGTCTCACTGAAAAATACTAAAATAACATTTTATCCAGTCTCCCCATGCAGCCCTGTCCCCAGATCCTCCACCCCAAACCCCTTGAACATTCACTCTCTAGCTCTGCTACCAACCTGGCTGTAGGGCCAACTCACCGAGAAGTGTTACACTAGGGTGTAAAAATAGTTGTCACTGAAAGGAGCCAGGGAGTTTTCTTTGTTGTTATATATCTAGTTAAATATAAATTAAAGCCAGAGAATTAAAGCCATACCCAGGAGTGTTTGTGTATATATTCAGGAAGTGCAGAGGCTATGTGTCACAGAAACCCCAAGCATTTCAGCTAAGTGAGAAATTCTAGGTAAAATGAATTGCTTGAATCCAATAATCTGCCACCATTGTAGTAGGGGGCCAGATACGATAGAACTTCATTGTTTTATTATCATTTTTTAAGAAGAAAAACTGTTTACAAGTTTCTGATCACTCCTCATTCCAACAGGAGAGGCCTCAAGTCTCGTGGCTACTCATTGTTCTGTGGAAAAGGAAATGCAGAATAGTTTCTTTCTTTCTTTCTTTCTCCTTTTTCCCGTCTCTGGACTAACAAAAGCCATGTACGGGTCATAATCCTTTCTGCAGTTCTGAAATCCATAAAGCTCTGGGAAACAAAGCTTTTCATAGTGGCACTAAAACTAACTTGGCCGCAAAACCTGACTGGAAATTATAGGAAGGTAGTTCTGGTTTTCATTTATACTGTATTTCACTACAAATATGTTCACGTGTTTGATCACAGGTGCTGCTCCAGACACACTAATATATCTGAATGAAGATACATATTTGGGGGAATTACCAGCATAGAGATGGTAACTGAAGTCATGGGAATGGTTGGAACGGTCCAGGGAATGAAGAGACTGAGCGGAGAAAAGGGCCGAGGACCAAATTCAGAGAACGGGACTGAGGGAGGGTCAAGGAGCCGGGAAGGACTGAGAAGAGGGAGGAGAACAGGGTGTGGAGATGCAGCCGCCAGGGGAAGAAAGGGTTTGGGCAGGGAGGGTGGGTGTCAGTGTTGGCCGCACAGAGATCAGTGGTGGTCTTGGCTCCCGGGAGGCTGAGAACTTGTCTTGAACCTACTTTATCTTTTTAACAGCACTGAGCTATGCTTTGTTCATGGTAGGTGCCCAATAAAGACCTGTTAGTTAACTGAATATGTCAGCTAAACCCACAGATCAGAGGGACAAACTGGCTTTTGTGAGATCTTGTTTGGGATT